CCCCCCCCCCCCCCTCCCCCCCAAGGAATTTTTTTTCCCCCACACCTAAAAAATACTTTTATTTTAAAGGGGGAAACGGACAAAAGGGGTGAACCCCTGGGTTAAAAAAAATAAAAAAGAAAAATTTTTTTTAAAAAAAGGCGTTTTTAATTTTACAAAACTTTTAGGAGTGGGGAAAAAAAAGGGGCCCTTTCTAGAACGGGGGTTCAATTTTTGGGGAAATTTTTTTTTAAACGGGGGGCCAATTTGGGGCCCCGGGCGGCCCAAACCCCCCCAAAAAAACCCCCATGGCCCCCCCCCCCCCTCCCCGGGGGCCATAAGACACACGTGGCTGTTCTATAAATAATATATAGTTACCGAGGAAAGTAGACTGGGGCAAAACTCAAGTGATTACACCAATGGATTGCAGGAATTTGCATTAATTACGTATAGACTACTACTGTCGGAGTCAATGAAGCAAACGTAGAGGCTTTCCATCATTTTAACAATGAGCACTGTAATCTGTTATTGTTCCTTATTCGTTTACTACTTATGGCAGTGTTATGACTAAAAATAACTCCAAGTTGACCTAGGTTAAAAATATATCTGTTATTCCTGCCAACTCTGACATAAGCAACTTTCATGATAAGCTCGAAGGACCTATATGAAGTCTATTGAGACAGATAAAAAAGCATTTAATGACGTTTTGTTCCGCAGCCAGACAAGCCAAATTATCAACAAGAACAGAATATCAATGTTACATCAATATTAACGTGCTAAAAACGCTAATATTACATATGTTATTCTGTATAATTATCTATACACTATTATTGTTATTTAGGTTTGGTGTATCCCTGCATGTGTTATTTTTTGCTGACAAGATCTCGTAGACATCCTCTGAGCCCAACAGCATTTTCGTTCTTGGTTCTTTGCTGATTTCTCTCATTGTTGCGTTTTTTTTTTGGCTCAAAATCGGGAACCTGTAATCCTTGCAACTGAGGCGTTTTCTGTGAGGAAAGAAAGAGCTTTACAGAAAGTGTACTCAGAAATGACCAATCCGAAGCACACTAGTATTAGCGGGTGGAGTTCGTTATCATCATGTATTCTTTCTATACTGTCAGCACCATATCTACATAAATGAGCTACATCAGTGCCATCCTCAAGGTAGTTTGTTGTTGTCAGATAACACCTACGGGACAGAGAGCTTTGTCCTTTCACTCGAAAAAGAAAATAAAACTGAAATGTATATCCTCTTATGCGCTTTTGCATATCCTTACGCGCGTGTCTATAGACCGTTTTCGCGGTTTATAAATTATGAAATAAGTGCCTGCTCTTGTGTTTGCGTCGCTTAGCAATTGAAAATCATGCGTAAAACCTCTATTAAACGTTTCACCCTCTTTGTCGGTTTCACTTGTCAATGAGTTCCATATAGTCACCTTCCATCGCCTTTAACTACTGATTCCACCTTCCCTTAACCACCATCGTAATTCTTTTAAATTATCCGTCCATCTTCATGGTTCTTAGGTGGGCAGTTGATTCAGGCCCCCATTTGAAAACGCATACATTTCGATGAGTTTAGGCCCTCTCTTCATACAAATACGCTGAGCGTTTTCATCGAAAACGCATCGATTTGAAAACGCTCTTAAAAGTAGATCCAAACAAAAACGTGAGAACCGTCGAAAACGGTCGAAAAAGCATCGAAATAAAAACGAAGACAGACAATTTTGCAGGAACGCGTGTTTGTCGCATGCCCATTAAGTTCAACTTACGTCATACGTTTTCGATGACAACGAAAACGCATTAGTGTGGACAGGCTCTCAATGTTTTAATTATGCATACTTAAGTCTTTAAGTAAAAAACAAGCACACGAACAATAAGACTAATATAGTCTTAACTTATGTTTTGCTGCGTTAACTACGTTTTGAATTAAAAGTATGTTATTTTTTTGCGTTTGAAGTTGACTTCTAGCTAAAATTCTGAAGATCTAGCTTTAGAAATAAAGTGCCTTGGTTAAATTCCTGAAATTACTAATAGCTCATTACTCAGCAAGGCATCGATATAGTCGTCTAGTAGGTGACGGGGTGCACTTAAGCCAAAAGACTCTCACCGTAAACTGTTTCAAGATCCTTTATTTTAGCAGCAAACTTTCTCCAGAGCAAATGGATAAAAGCACCTTCTATTTGCCATTAACACGTTTGACACGTACTTAGTTGAACACTCGTTTTCTGAGTTATAAAAGTTGGTTGTTGTTGTTTTGTCAAAGCTTACTTGAACCGTCAGTCAATATCAGTTTAAATTTCATCTTTTGTTGGTAATTTTGATTTCTTGTTAAACCTAGCTCAATTAAACATGTTCGTTGGTGTGCGAAAAGGACTCAAATGAATAATTTATCAAAACCGATGTCTTTGTCTTAGAATATAAATGGCAAAAAAAAAATTGATCCCAGACATAGTTAGTAGAGGAGACTGCATGGTTAGGAAATCCGGCAAACATCAAAGTTGAAAGCAATGGTGTTGTAGGTTAATGTTGATTGGAAGCTCCCTGACCGTGCACAATCCTTTGTTTTCTGTTCACAAATTATGACTGAATAAATTAACCCAATGTCTCTATTGGTCAATAACTTCAAAATGTTAGGAATACTATTGAACGTTGTGCAAGGTCAGGTCCAAAAAAGCTGACAAAAACCTATAACAAAGGGTTTCCCATTCCACTTTAATCCCAGAAAAGCTAATAACCCTTTAAAATTTGCGTAACCCTCTAAATTTGCATTTTGACCATATTTGAGTGTAAATAAGACCCCATATATGGGCAGTGACGTCATGGTCTTGTATTTACAACTCGGTGGTTCGAAATTGGGTGATCCCGTGTGCTGCTGTTTGTTTTCTGTTTAAGAGGCCCTAACAGGTGAGCAAGCTTTAAGAATACGATTTCTAGTTTGAAAGGGCTAATAGTGCTCTGGTTTGCTTTATAAATTGCGTTTAAAGCAGCAACTGATCAAGCAATAGGGTTTTAGGCTCCAGCTTTTTGTCACAACTAACTTGTTCTTTGCAGCTCGATTTAAATTGAGGTAGCGTGTTCGCTTCTCGACTCAGAACCAGGGCCTTCAGTGTTATCTTTTCCTTTGTAAGTTGAATTATATGCGGTAGCTAATCAAGGAATAGGGTTGTATTCTCAAAACGTTTACCAGAACCAGCGTGTTTTTCGCATTTCGATTTACATCGAACCGGTCCTCTTCTTCCCGTGAGGGATGCAACGCATTTGAGGACCTTTTGTTTTTTAGAAGTCATTTTTGCCTATTGAGAGATTTTTGTCAACCAGCTCGTGTCTTCTGTAGCTCTATTTACATTGAAGACAGCCCCAAACTCTCATGAGGAATGCAACGAATTTGCCGACCTTTTGTTTTTAAGACCATCATTATGAAGCATTTTGCTTTTCGAGAGACTCTTTGTCCTGTGCCACTCGATCATTAGATCTTTGTATTCTATTCAAGTTTATATTTTTATCACTCTGATACATTCCGCCCCATTCTTGCGCTTTTCACACATTTTGCTTACACAAATTCATATGTATATTACCATGCGGAATGTTTTTCTTATCCCTAATGATGCCGTTGATCGGCGAAAGCTTGGAGTTTAATTCTAATTTTTAATTTTAGCAGTCAAAGGCCTCACTTGAACTATATTTTACTTTCTAACGTTTATAGTTTTGAATTTCCATAAGATATAAGAGCTACTTGTTCCAATTTACCAACAAAGCTTCAAGCTATGTTGCTATTTTTACCAGAAGTGAAAGCCTAGAATGTACCAAAGTTTTTTTCTTAAGTTGAGTACCATCTTTTTCTAAAGCGAAATCTATTGTAACCCTCTAAAATTATATTATAAATCGCGAAGATCTGGATTGGCACATTTCACAAACGACAAACGCTTCGTTGGCACTTGCCTGAAGGTACCCCTAGTTCAGTATTACGAAAATGCTCGTCTGCTGCATAACCGCAAAACTGATATGGGTACTCGATGCTGGGTCGAAACT